GTCGAACTATATCAAATTTACGAAAGCCCAAAATAGGACTTTTTCAAGTCATTCCGCCCCAATGGTCACTGGAGCACTCCAGTCTGGTCACTTGACCATTCTGTATCATATCATCTCTTATCTACCTGGCTTTTCTGGAACTTTCAAAAGGCATTAATATCGGTGGTAGACATTATTGTTCGTTATATACCACACAATAAGTTATTAAGATGTATCTTACTCGTTGGAAGAAAAATATTTTCGAAAAAAATCCAATTTTTGTGATTTTTTATAAGTCATCGATTTTTGTAATTCATCTTTTTCGGAGACAAAACACTGTAACAAAATATTTCTTTATCAATCGATAGCTTATAGAGTTCGCCAAAAGACATCTTCCCAAAGTTTTTAAATTCCATGCTTTCTTAATTTTTTGCCATCGATCTACAAATAGTACCTCCGGTGACCAAGGGGGGGTAAAGGGTTAAATCAATTTTTTAATGAATTGAATTACATTTAAATTTTCGAAACGTGTTATTGAAATCAAGACGCTTCTAGCTATCTATTGGTAAAAAGGTTCGTCTCGGATCAATTCTTTTAGTGATAAACAGTTTTTTCCTAAACGAGGCCACTTTTTCGAGAGCTATGTTCGGTGTAATGAGTTTCCGAAATTTTTTGAAGTTCCAAATTCGTTAAAATAAAAAGTTGTTGGGCAAAAATTTAGGGTAAGAGTCCCCCTCAAAGATTTTTCATCGGAAAATGTTTTTTTTTCGAATTTGATTTGTTTTATTTCCGTTAAAATTTGACACATAATAAGACAATATTAAGCGAAAATAATCATTTTTTAACTCATAAAACCAGATGTAAAATAGGAAAAATATCCACTGTGCCTTCCCTGTTGAAAATCGTCATTCCCTAAAATTCTGTTTTTCAATGTGCAGCTGAAAGTCTAGTCTTTCTGATTGTATCAAGAAAAAGAATTAATCTCTTTCATTTTATTAGATGTCCCTTTCGAAAGTATGTGGAGAAGCGCGAAAAAGACGACTGTATCATGAGCGATGACAACGACTGTAATGTTTCGATGAAGTGTCCAAATTGCATGCACTACTAAACGCGTTAGCACCTTTTCAGAAAAAATAAGTGGTTTCATCATTATCATAAATATTAGATAATTCTCCTTTTCGGAGTTTACCCTAGTTACCCTAGAAATATAGTCAAAGATAAAATAAAAATGATCAAGTCGTCTTCCTTTTCAGCGCTAACTAAATACTCATTTGTTCATCTTTCGTTTGCGTCGCCAATCTGTAGCTATCAATGTACTCTGTTGTTTATATTATTTCATTACGATTTCCCGATAACTTGACTTATGGCGAAAAGACTCAAAAGTGATTGAAAATTCCTATAACTCAATGAAAAAAGGTGATTAAACGCAAAATATTCTTTTAAGAGCTTCCAGAAAAATGAGCATAACCTTATGAAAAAACATGGTGAAGAGTAGAGAAATATCTTGTTTTGTAAGAAATATTTACTCTATACGACGGATTATTAAAAAAAATTTCATATAAAAAAATACATTTCTCGTCAATAGAAAATCGCGAAGGGCTGAAATTGATTTAACTTTGCAGAGGACACTTCATTCTAAAGTGCACTGTGTTTAACTCAAACATGAAATTTTTTTCAGAAAGGGGGTGGATGGTACCCTTAAGGCGATAATTGAGAATTGATTGAAGTTGAAAAATGTAAAAGGATGCGCATTTCAACTACGTACATTTAGTTATATTCAATGTAATACGTTGACCTTTTTTCTAGCTTTTAAAATATTCTTAAATGTTAGCGACCTGTTCTTACTCCTCATTATTTGTATTTTCACTGGGAGAAAAGAAGAGAAAACTTTTGTGTGATGAACAAAATCTATCCTAATTTATTGAAAATTATACATTTAATTTTCTGAACTGATATAACCTAGATGCACAGTAATATAAACTGAAGAAAAGCTGATTTAAAAGTAAATTGTTGAGATGTTGAAAACTCATTCACATTTTAGTTCAAACTGGCATCTCTCATCTTTTCTAGTCCTTTTAACGAAGATCTACTGTTCACTATGTGAAATAATCAGTCGACTGGCTCCGAAAACAGAAGTATAAAGCATTTCTTGAGCGTAGAAGTAAACTATGTTGCACGCTGCTCTGAATCGGCACCGTGTACTAGCATTTTCGTCAACAAAAGTAGCTATTTTAAGTATGTCCTAGAGAACGTACTTGATGCAAGTACTTGATTATTTGGTAGTACTTAGAAAAATTGGTAGTGTTTTCAAAATTTCTCACTTGTCATGTACTTTCAGAAGTACTTCTCAATGATAAAAATACTTGCTTTTATTGCTAAGAAGTACTTTGTAAAAGACCTTTTCAAGTAAGGACTTTTTTTTCATCATAAACCGAAAAGGTGTAGTTAAAAACCAAAAGACTTCTTCTGTTTCACCAAAAAACTGACAAGTGCTTTTTAGAAAGAGTCAAATGGTTTTCTAGCTTTGGTAAAACCCAGAAGGGTTTTTTCCTAAACGCGTTTGGTTTAGGTAAACATTATCTTTGGTTTAGCGAACGATTTTCCAGTTTGAGCAACAACTTAGTCTTTTACTATTCTAATCATTTCTATCCAACAACTTCATTCGTAATATAATGAAGTAATACTGTTCTGCTCAGTATCATACAATTCTAAGTGTCCACTAGAATACTAAACCAAGTGAAAATTTCTATCTAAGACTCTGAAGACTTTTTCATGTAACATACGCCTTTTAAAACCTAATTGGACACGGTTTGTTAGAATATCACGATAATTTATAAGTTTGGCAGACTTCCACTCCTAAAAAGCAGATGAGCTAAACATAAGAACCTTTTTAATACATAGTTTTTAGAATTGTGCGAATACTGTTATCACATAATGAGAATTACTTGAGTGCATCCGTTCGTGCCTTTCTGCGTTGTTAATCACCCAACACATGTTGCTTGAACAACCATCTCATAACACCGTTCGATGTCGAGCTGTTGAAACAGTCCTCAAACGCGTTAAACATGCGATTTGTACATTCAATATTTTCAAACAAAATCCGCCAACAATCGACGAATACAAATTAACAGATGAATTGATCTCTACACGTCTCTTTGTTATCCTGTTAGTGGTATCGTTAGTCGTTCTCGTTCTTTATACATCCTACATTACAACCACAATCACAATTAATTCCCCAGCGATGGCTCAGTACACGGCTCTCTATATGGAATATTCAGCAAGATTAGCATGTTACTGTACAACTATTTCGATGCCCTATCAAAAATTCATTAGTATTCATTCAACATACCATCAAGTGTGTACAAGTAATTTCACGTCACAGTTATGGCTTGACTATTTAATGAACTTAAGGTGGACAACGATTTTCTATCATCCAGATTTTCGTAATACTGGCGCCTATTCTTTTCAAACACTAATAGCCTTATGTATATTAACGAATGAGACAATTTTGAATAATCTTGTCGTGTTCAATTCGACGTCCTTTATCTCTCCAACTGTAATATCAAACAAACATTTCAATTACAAGCGCAGTCATTCATCGATCCATTTATATTGACAACAACGAACAGTTTTTCAACGTCTGTGAAACTAGCACACGATACTACACAAGATAGTGGCCTCATGTCTGGCTTACGAACGAATTTCATTCCAAATATAAGCGATTCTGAGTTAGCTATTTATCCGTACAAATATACAAGAGAAAATAGCTCGATGATTTGTTCATGTTCGGTTAAATCAACGTGCATTACTCAGTCAATAATATACAATATGGATGGCGATGTTCAATGGTATATGTAGGAATGTATCAAGGATGTTTTATCCTTGAATCATTATTAGAATCAAATCTTTAATGTTTCTACAATAAAGAATGTGTAAAAACGTTACAATCATATATTGAATCTTTAGTCACGATAACACCGGCAATACTTTCAAACACTTCCAACAGTCCATATCCACCTACAACCTCTATTCAACAAATTGTCGATAATCTAATGGGAACAATGGCACACATCGATATTGTTTGAGGTTTATTACGAACAATGTAATCCAACATATTGTACGTATACAACACGGAAAGGTTCAATACAGTGTATATTGTTACAACAATCGTTGGACTCATTGGTGAACTAACACAGGTGTTACACGTGATAGTACTGCATGTGGGAGACATAAACTTGTTCCACATTTATTTAATAGATTTAGCAGAAATCGGAACAAATCGATCAAAAACAGCCAAGAGGCATCTTGTAATGTTTTTGATATCCGTTGCTGATGATTCAAGGCTAAAAGGTTTAGCTTAAGTAATGTAATGCCGCAGGTTGCAAAGTTTTTATTGTTACATTCCACCACATAACAAAATCTGTTACAGCCCTCGATAAATAACGTTTATCTCTGAACCGAAAAATTTTCGAAAGTTTGATCGAAGTTCTCTTTTATGTTCAGACATACTGATCAAGTTTACAGTACCGGTCTGAAGAATATTCACTCTGAGTCTCAGGAAACATAATAGATAGTGATTTGAATTTCTATACATATAGTTGTGCTCATATGCTTATAAAACTCACCAGTATAGATTTTTGCTGCTAGATGGCTTCTGAGAAATAGAAGTTTCCTTTCTTCCAGTGCAATGTTCCATAAGACAAAAAGTCGAAAATCTTCGTAAAAGTAGGCTTCCAGAGAATCTTTAGCAAACAAGGTGCCTTTCCCTAAATTTCATTAACAAACACATTAATTCTATTTCTGGTTGATAACGGTAACAGTTCTAAAAAATATTGTTTACAGCTAAATCAAGTTTTTATTGATTTAAACTCAAGCTTTCGATCCAGCGGTTCCATCGATAACGAAACGCATCAGAAATTTATTCAGTCATTACTATGCTGAGTAGACATCCTGGACGAGTAACCAATAGCAAATAAATACGTTCTTGTCAATTTCTTTGCAAGCAGGCAACTTTTTCTTTGTTATCCCCGTACATTTTTCTGATATTGTACATTTGCCAAAAAACTACCGTTGAATCTGTGTACATTTCCCATACATTGTAATACTTTGGCAACTAACAAATAGTCAGATTTATCACTTAAATCGTAAGCTTTCTGATGGTTCGTTAATGCAGCAGCGTATTCCGATTTAACATGATGAGCACGGCCGATGCCTTAAATGAACAAGAATAATATATGCTTTGATCGAACAGAGATGAATTGGAGACGAAGATAAAAACTTACCTAAATACACCTGGGCATCATCGGGTCGAGTGATTATCAAGTTTTCGAAATACTTTTGTGATTTATTATATTCTCCCATATCATATAACAGATCTACAAACAGAATAACTGAATCAGCATTCTTCATTTCATTTTTTCGAAAAGTGACATATTCCTTCGCAACTTCTACGCCTGTTGCTGAAGCCTTCATTTTGCATGTCGAATACTTATCCGTCGTGTTATAACTCACAGATTCAATTTCAAATACTGCCCCAAGATCAAATAAAACCTCTTCTTCATCATAAAATTGGCTAAGATAACTAATATCAGCTAAGATGCAATTTATTTGCTCTTTCAGATCAATCTCAATTTCAAACAACAACGATTCGTAATTATTACTGATGGGTGCTACGCTGGTGGTATTAGTATTCGTCGCAGGATTGGCTTCAATTCCAGCATAAAATTGTGCTACGTTGTGACGTCTCCTAGTAGAAAAATTGCCATTCATTAAAATTAAACTGCCAACATTATCCTAAAAAAACAAGAGTGAAACTTTTCAGCTAACAATGCAAGGCAGTTGCGAACTCTGAATGTGAGGATCTAATAGTTTCGTCTTTTGTTCGCGTAAGCTATAGCTGGGCCTTTCCAATAAAATCATGTTTCGGTAAAATGCTTCTTCGGCAAAATGCTTTTGGACAAACGGTTTTCTGCGAAAAACTCATAAACTGGTGACCGCTTTCCTCTCGATGTTTCCGAGAATTCGAGAAGCGGCGTACTCGTGTTGAGTGGATGATGAAAAAGAGATTATTGAAAGGGAAGATACTGTAATTTCGTATTTTATTAAAACAGTTTAAAAATATTTAAAAGATATATAAGACAATGAAACGTTTCGACCTCTTTTAAATTGAAGTCTACTTCAGTAAACTTAATAAAATATGTATACAAATATATAAAAATAAAACTGTAGTTAAAATTGTTATATATAACGTGTGTATTTTAGATTGTAGTGTGACCGTTTCAACCTATTTCTGTATTGTCGCTCGTCTAGTTTTCTTTTCTTTTTCTTTTTTCTTTTCGTTTATTCTGTTTCGAGATTTAGCTATTGATTTTATCTCTCTCTCTCAAGGAACATAATGAAGATGTACTTGTTCGTACGAAAATAGAAGAATCTCAAGCGAAGTAAAACATTTAAAATATGTAAGGTGCACGCAAAGCAAAATTTTAGCAAAATTTTTTTTCCGATAGAAGACAAACATTCGGATTTGCCTATTCATGCTGATCACGAATATGACCTTGAAAGTTGAAAAAAACCTTTTTTTCGGGGAGAAAAATGCAAAATACTGAAAAGGTCCAAAAACTTCGAAAATTCTTGGCCTTTCGAAAAACACTCATAACTTTTTATAGAAAGTAGCTACAGGCTCAAACTTTTTTTTGTTCGATTCCTCGTCGAAAACTGGGTATATCCATACTAGTTTCAGACTCTTAGACCGTAATTTGAAATTTTGGCGCTGCTCGCGATAGAAAACCCTGAAAAATGAGACCCCTCCGCCAAAAAACCTATCTAGTTTTTTTGGTGAGGAGCTAACTCATTGAATTTTATGCCATTCGATAGCTCTATACTCCAGCTATAGCCGTAAGGAGGGGTTTTGGGAAAAAAAATTTTTTCGTTGAGAAATAGCATTTTTGCTAAAAATCAAGAAAACCCCAAACAGTGCTTTTTTCAACTGTATGCTATTTTTAATTTTTAAACATTTTTTTTGAGTTTTTGGGAGGCCTGGGTTGATGCAACAGGCACTCCACGTTGTTTGCAGAAAAAAAAAGATGTCGCGTGTAACATCTTACTGAAAAACAGTGAAACCTATCACATTGTCTTCAAGTTTCAGATAAGTCATAATCTTTTATTAGCACTTTGTTAGTTAGAATGCCAAAGCGCAACCAACTACGACTTAGAAGCGAAAAAGCAAACCAGAAGCGTCACTCGGCTGAATATGTGGCATCTAGTAGCGAATCTGATGACGATGTGTGGGAGGAAAACGAGGCTATGAAAACTGAAGCGGAGGCTGTGCAAGAGAATAAGGAACCGTTGAATTTTACTAACGAAGTTTTCATCAATGATATCGGCGATCTCTTTGGTAAGTAATTTTTGTTGACAGAGATTTCTTTTTAGTTTGTTTCCGTAACGTTTATTTCGTTCAGAGTTGTGCAAAGCCATTTGTCTAGTAAAACACCTTAGTGTTTTGATCTATATGATTTTGAGGCATTTTGGAATGAAGTGGTGGGCTATCAGTGATTTTCTGTCACGTATTGGAGCACAGACTAGTGTAACGGCTCATAAATGGACACAAATTTTCGTCTCAGGAGATTTAGAAGCATTTGCGTCAGAAAATAGTAAGTTGTGCTTATAGCTTCAAATCACTGTACCATAACTTCTAACCTGCCAATCTTTTAGGAGGC